TGTTACCATGCAAGGAATCTTTTCACACAACCAAAATAATGACCACTAAAGATGTGGCTCTAATGAGGACCCCACAGTAACGGCACAGGATAAACTTACAAGGTGGACAAACTTTTAATGAGTCTTTACAATAAAGCAGCACCGTTTTAAAACTTCAGTGACTGAATGAAAGTTGATCAGGTTGTAAAAAGTGAGGTGATTACAGGATAATACACATTAATATGAGAGATGGTTGGTCATTGTCATTAAATACTCCTCTGACAGGAGAGGATGGGAGGAAATGGAAGATGTGAAGAGATTAGAGGGAGTGAAAAATGGGTCGTTATGTGAAATACTGTTAATATGTAAAGTAGTGGAGTGACAAAGATGGATGTCCATGGTTCTTTGTCCTCCACTATATCACCAAAGTTTGTTTTTGCCCTTTACAGTAAACTTATTTTCTTTAGAGTTGACAGAAAGTACTGAACTATGAGATAAAAGAGCCTATTAATTTAACTAAAATATTTCAGTATTTTCATATATATACATATATTACATTATATATTTATATTATGGATAAAGGAGACAACTAATAAATATTGCAAACGCGTTACATTAAATCGGTTCATACAGATGAAGTGAATGTCAACTACAGGCAATGAGCACATATGTATATAAACCCTTGTCCTCTGTTAACGACGTTGTGTTAATAAAGTTAATTCAAATGTGTATTTTCCACTGTACATAAAAGAAAAAAAGAAAGAGTTGATCGTCACAACCTAACTTTTTGTAATTGGTTGTCTGTCATTGTCGTCCGCTAATTGCATTGGTTGGTAATCAAGCGGGGCGGGAAACCCGAAGAGCTGAAAATAACGAGGCATTTTCAAGGCGTGTGAATGGGAACCTTGTTAAAGTCCCACGTAGTCCCACGTCCGCCGGAACGCAATTGTGATGGGACCCAATTCAATGCGTTGCTCGCAGCAGTCATAACTTCACACTACTCAGCAGTTAACATGGACGCACCTGGGTAGCAGCAGTCAGGCAAGTAAAGAGACACCGGGTG